GGGGGGGGGGAAATTGGCGCAGCGCGTGTAGCGCAGAGAGAATGGAATGAGTCCGCTGTTGTGTTGTGCTGGCTATGGCGTGAAACAGGAGGCGGAATAATGTTAGGGTGTGTTTGGTTGGACTAGCTAGAAGGAAGCAGTCTGTTGAATGGTACAGGAGGGATGCATATAACATCCAGCACTGTGCTTGTATCTGTGTGTGTACATGATGGCAATTGGTTATGGTGTTAGCATCTGTGGTATTTTACCAGGTCGCCGGGCTTGGCAACGCGAGAGCATTAGTGTGTTGGTGTGAGGGAATGAGGAGAACGAGACTATAAAACTATATGGTTGGGAGGTGGTTTTTGGTATGGTGCCCTTTGGTGTGGAATGTTTTGTGTGTGCGCTTCCCGAGTTGAAGGTTTTTGGAAGGGATGTAATAGGAATGGAGCATTAGCTTGTTGATGGGAAGATACCTCTTGGCTTGGCAGCGTGGCGGGCATGACCGGGTTTGTGTGAGGGAAGGTGGAGAACGAGACTGTAAGAGTAGATAGCTGGGATATATGTTTTGTTAGGGTGTCTTTTTAATGTAGCATGTTTTGTTCGCTCCCCGAATTGAGGTTATTTGCGAGGGAGGTTAGAGGAGAGGGGAATTGGGTTGTTGATGGGAAGGTACCTTTGGGGGTTACGCGTTGCAACGCACGCAGGTCGTAGGTGTTTTATTTTGTGTAACACTATGGGGGGTGCCATGCAGGTTTGTATACTCTCCAGTTGTTGGATGCCAGTTGTTGCACAAGTGGTTTTCGTTGTACAGGGGAGTAGGTTAGGAGCAGTGCAGCTCCTCTCTGAGTTTGGGAACTGGCGACTGTTAAAATTTGTACGCGGAAATCTCGGTAGCATGAGGTGGAGTGGCGAAGAACAGCGTGGATGTGTTGGTTGATCTCACGAGTTTGTGGAGAGCATATGTTCGTTTGTTAGTGAACGTGAGTATTTGTAGATGCGCGGTGGAGTTAGTGCAGCGCGCGTAGAGTAGAGGGAGGGGAATGGGGCCTGTGTTGTGTTGTGTTGGTTATGGCATTTCAGAGGAGTTGAATTTTTTTAGGGGGGTTTTGAGGTTCTCACAAAAGATGGTAAAATGGGTTTAGGGATACTGAAGCGATGTAATGGATTTGCGACACTGTGTTTGTGTTTAGGGTTAGTAGATGATGGCATTTGGGCATTGTGTTGGGATTTGCGGGCGTATGGTTTTTGATGGTTGTTTAAGGTGTAGCGAGGCCTGGCAACGTGGCGGGCATGGGCAGGTTGGTGTAAGGGAAGGTGGAGAAAGACACTGTAAGATTAGATGGCTGGGAGGTGTGTTTTGATAGGATGTCTTTTGGTGTGACATGTTGTGTGTATGTGCGCTCCGTGAGTTGAGGTTATTTGCAAAGGAGTTTGTAGGAGGGGAGCATTGAGGTGTTGATGGGAAGGTACCGTTGGCGGTTACGAGATGTAACGCACGCAGATCGTACGTGTATGCATGTGCATCATGCTGGGCAGGTTTGTGTTTTGTATCCTGTTGTTGGATGCTAGTCGTTGCAGATGTGGTTTCGTCGTAGAGGGGGGTGCGTTACGAGGAGTGTAGGCCAGTTATGAGTCTGCAAGGGGTCGCTTGTTCAAGAGGATGGATGAATGTGCCAGGGGCATTAGTGAGGTGTGGAGTGGCGAAGGGCCGCATGGATGTGTTGGCTGATGTCACGAGTTTGTGGAGAGCAGATGTTGTTTTTCTGTGGATGTGCGTAACTGTAGTTGCGGCGGAGGAGTAGGTGCGGAGCCTGTAGCGCCGAGGCAGTGAAATGATGTCTGCTGTGTTGTGTTGGTAGTAGCGTGACACAGGAGGCGGATTGTATTGGGGGTGTTGTCGGTTTTCACTAAGCAGGACCCAGTGTGGTTAGCGACGCAGAAAGAATGCGATGAACATGCGACAGTGTGTGTTGGTGTATGCTCATAATGGCAATTGGAAATGGTGTTGGGATGGGTACGTGCATGGTATTTGTTAAGGTGTAGGGGGCTTGGCAAAGTGGCGGGCATGGGTGTGTTTGTGTGCAGGGAGGTGGAGGACGAGACTTCAGTATTAGATGGCTGGGAGGTGAGTTTTGTTAGGATGTCTTCTTGTGTGGCATGTTTTGTGTGTGCGCTCCTCGAGTTAAGGGTTTTTGGAATTGAGGTTACATGGCTGGAGCATTGGGTTGTTGATGGGAAGATAGCTCCGACGATTACGACATGCATATCGAGCAGCTAGTAAGTGTTTGATATGGTTCGTAAGTAGATACCGTTTGCAGTAGATGCTGACTGTTGTGTGGTGGGAAGCTTGTTACCCTGGTACGTGTTTGGTGGAGTTGTGTGTCACAATGCAGTATGCCAGGCGGGATGGAGTATTGTGCAATGTTGTTGAATGGTAGTTGTTGCGCTTGTGGGTTTCGTTATAGACGGGAATACTTTGGGGCCAGTGTCCTTCAGTTGTGAGTATTGGAACGGGAGACTTTTCCAATGGGTGGAAGTATGTGGGACTGGCGGAAGCGACATGTGGCGTGCCACATGGCCGCATGGATTTCTCACCAGTTTTTGGAGAGCAGATGTTTGTTTGTCTGTGGGGGTGGGTAATTGTAGTTGAGGAGATGGAGTTTGTGCAGGGCGCTTAGTGCAGAGGGCGTGTAATGGCGGGTTTGCTGTGTTGTGTTGGTTATGGCCTGACACAGGAGGCGGTTTGTGTTTGACGTTCCCTCTTAGCACGACACAATGTGTTTACCGATGCAGACGGAATGAGATGGAGATGCGACACTGTCCGTGTGTAGGTGTGTGTAGGTGAAGACAATTGGATGTTGTGCTGGAATGGGTAGTAGTATGGTATTTGTTAGTTTCTGCGGGAGTTGGCAACTTGGCGGGCATGACTGTGTTTGTGTGCGGGAAGGTGGCGAACGATACTATAGTTTAGATGGCAGTGTGATGTGTTTTGTTAGGATGTCCTCTGGTGTGGCATGTTGTGTGTGTGTGCTATCAGCGAGTTGAGGTTATTTGCGGCGATCGTTGGAGGAGTAGAACACTAGGTTCGTGATCGGTAGATATCGTTAGCGATTACGACATGCATATCGACCAGCTGGTACGTGTTTTGTATGGTTCGTAAGTGGATTGTGTGGTGAGTTGCTGCAGTGGATGCTGGTTGTTGAAGGAATATTTGTTGCCCAGGTACGTGTTTGGTGGAGTTGTAAATCACCCTGCAGACCGCTAGCTAGTGTGACACCTTGTGTCATGTTGTTGTATGGTAGATGTCGCCGCCGGGGATTTCATTGTATAGACACGAGTACGTTAGGCGCAGTGTAGTTCAGTTGTGAGTCTGCGAGCGGTCGCCTGTTACAATGGATAGATGTGTGTGGAGTGGGGGTAGCGTGGTGTGGCGTGGCGACGGGGAGCATGGATGTGTCGGTAGATGTCACGAGTGTCTGCAGAGTAGATGTTTGTTTGTCTGTTGACGTGGGTACTTGCTGTTGTGGAGATGAGGTATGTGCAGCATCTGTAACGCAGAGGGAGTGGTATGAGTACTTGCTGTTGTGGAGATGGGGTATGTGCAGCGTCTGTAGTGCAGAGGGAATGGAATGAGGCATTTGTTGTGTTGTGTTGGCTATGGCATAGGAGAGGAGGAGGATTGTGTTAGGGGATGTTTGAGTTTCTCATGAAAGATGATATAGTTTGTTGAGCGTCACAGAAGGAATACAACGGATATTCGAGACTGTGTTCGTCTGTGTCTGCGTGTGTACCTGATGGCAATTGGATATTGGGTTGCCATGGGCGTGTTTAGGGCATTTGATACCTTTCCGTTTTTTTTTAGGTGTAGCCGAGGTTGGCAACGTGTAGGGCATGGGTGGGTATGGGTGAGTAAGCGGGGAGGTGGAGAACGAGACTGTAGTATTAGAAGACTTGGGTGTTTGTTGTGTTAGGTTGCCTTTTGGTGTGGCATGTTGTGTGTGTGCTCTCAGCGAGTTGAGGTTATTTGCGAGGGAGGTTATAGATGCGGACCATTGGTTTGTTGATGGAAAGGTACCTTTTTGTGTTAAGACTTTCATATCGTCCAGCCAGTAAGTGTTTTATATGGTGCATGAGAGGATACAGGTGTGCGTCTACGCATTAGATGCTGGTTGTTGATGGAATATTTGTTGCCCATGTGCGTGTTTGGTGGAGTTGTGTATCACTATGCGGAATGCGAGGCAGGTTGGTGTTTTGTGTCCTGTTGTTGAATGGTAGTTGTTGCGCGTGTGAGTTTCGCTATAGAAGGGAGTGGGTTCGGAGAAGTGTAGTTCAGTTGTGAGTCTGCGAGCGGTCGCCTGTTAGAATGGATAGATGTGTGTGGAGTGGGGGTAGCGTGGTGTGGCGTGGCGACGGGGAGCATGGATGTGTCGGTAGATGTCACGAGTGTCTGCAGAGCAGATGTTTGTTTGTCTGTTGATGTGAGTAATTGTAGCTGGGGAGATGGAGTAAGTGCAACGTCTGTAGTGCAACGGGGGTGGAATGAGGCCTGTGTTGTGTTGTGTTGTGTTGTGTTGTGTTGGCTATGGCATAGGAGAGGAGGAGGATTGTGTTAGTGGGTGCTTGAGTTTCTTACGAAAGATGATACAGTGTGTAGTGCGATACAGAAGGAATACAATGGATATGCGACACTGTGTTCGTTTGTGCCTGTGCTTGTACATGAGGGGAACTTGATATTGGGTTGCCGTGGGTGGGTGTATGGTATTTGACACTTTTCCGGTTTTCTAGGTGTAGCCGAGGTTGGCAACGTGTAGCGCATGGATGCGTGGGTGTGAGGGAAGGTAGAGAACGAGACTATAGTATTAGAAGACTGGGGGATTTCGTTTGTCAGGATGTCTTTTCGTATGGCATGTTTTGTGTGTGCGCTCTCAGCGAGTTGAGGTTATTTCCGAGGGCGGTTATACGAGTGGAGCATTGGATTGTTGATGGGAAGGTACCTTTGGGTGTTAAAACGTTCATATCCTCCAGCCAGTAAGTGTTGTATATGGTGCCTGAGAGGATACGGGTGGGCGTCTACGCATTAGATGCTGGTTGTTGATGGAATATTTGTTTCCCAGGTACGTGTGTAGTGGAGGTGTGTGTCACTATGCGGAATGCGAGGCAGGTTGGCGTTTTGTGTCGTGTTTTTGAATGCTGGCATTTTGTGGTAAGTGGCTATCTTTGTTTTGGAATGTTCCATGCATGTGTCGAGGGGGATGATGTTAGTTAGGAGGTAGATTAGGTGCCGGAAGGTAGCTGTGGGGCTCACTAGTAGCAGCTGGCGCGTATACTAGCTGTTGTGCTTTCTGTGTGGGTGGACGCCTGTACCTGGTCGCAGTGCATCTGCTTGCAGGGTGATTGTTTGCTAAACAGCAGGGTTTTGGAAGAATGTGTGCTGCAGTGTGTGAAGTGTCCAAGAAGTTGGTGATTTGTGTTGTGTTGTTGAGGCGTGTTTGTCGTGGGTGAACGATGTTTTGCAGGAGAACGTGCGTTAGAAGGATTATAGTGGAACTCTGAGTGCGCGGTAGACCGGCTGGAAAATTGAGCAAAATATGTGGAGCTCGGTTTCGTGTTGCGGAATGGCAAATTGCAGCTTCTGTATGCTGGTTGATATTCTCAGTGTGTGGAGTGAGGCTGTTTGGGTTTGGGCGTGCGTGTGGGTACTATATGCCACGGACACGGAATAGTTGGGATGCGAGGAACGGCGAGGTAGTTGAGGGATGAGTGTGTGCCGTTGTGTTGGGTATGGCATGACACGGCAGGTCTAGTTTGTTTGGTGGTGTCTAAAGCTCCCACTAAGCAGGAGAGAGTGCGTTGGCGATTAGCAGGGAGAGTGATGTATATGGGAGAGCGATGAATATGCAGCAGTGTGGATGTTGGAAATTATAGTGGCATCGACGGGTGCTTGTTATTTACTAATATTTTTGAGTTTGGGGATCTAGGAGAGCACGCCAACTTGGCGGCAAGGGCGTGTTTGTGTCAGGGAAGATGAAAATGTTGATTACGAGACTAGGTGGCGAGGAAGTGGTGTTTGGTTTGGTGTGTGTGTGCGTGTGTTTGTGTGGCATGGTTAGTCTCTACCGAGGTTAGAGGAGTGATGTATTGGGTTGGTCAGGGGAAGGTAGGTGTGTGGGCTGCGAGGTACAGGTTGAGCACACATATATATATATATATATATATATATATA